ATATTTGGAAGTGAATGAGTGGTCGACCCATTAGTAGGATCTATCCCCCCGCGTCCCCATCATCTGTTCCATTTGATCTATTATAGACGTTCTAAAAGTATTGAAATCCTCAAGTTTAACATATTGTGTCTGTTAAGATGATGTGAGATCAAATAAACCATTGCGCAAATACGCCACGGTAAGAGGATCCAACCAAAACATTTTTTCCTTTTTTGGGAGATACAACTTTAAAAAATTGCATTTTCATCCACACTACCCTCTTGGGAGTCTTGGGTTTAACGATCTACCTCTGTTACAACTTTTCCCTATTAAACTAAATAAACTAGAAATAATACAAGTAGTTAATGTAACTACAAATAATGTAATAAGTTAAATTTAATATTTCACTTGTAAATAATTAAACAACTAAAAAAAGTCTTAAAATTTGGCAACAATAATTACAATTTTCACAACATAATAATGCATTAAAATGGATTATGAAATAATATTCTGTAATAATGTATTAAACTGAGTAAAAGTAATATAAATACTCACGTATTGAAACTGAAAATCTGCAAAACATAAAAAATAAAACTATACCACAATGTCCTAAGCTATGGACCACTCATTCATTAGTTACGTTTCTTTTGTTGAAACCCGTCCTTAAGAATCTCAATAGCAACTGGTTTCCTCCCAATTGTACATCATATTTAAAAATATATAATCAATAACTCATTCCAAACTTATTAATTTAAAATAAATATATTGACTTACAAGTACAAACTTACTAATTGTTCTGCTCTAACTTTTTTAGAAACAAATCCCCCGCAATATGGCGAGCTTCTACAGACATTTGAAGAGCTATTTTTTTGTTTACTTCCAACTTCTTAAATTTTTCAGACGCCTACTACACTAGCATGTCCTACCAATGTTCCGCCGATATCCATGGGAGCCATTTTTTCTTCTTTCAGGCTTCATTAAATTAAAGACACTCTTCAACCACAATGAACATCTAGAATTAAAAGAACGCAGAATATCAGATTCTTCAGGTGGAGGATATGTGTCGTTCCATTTCAAAAAAACACATAGTTATCATTAAAGTAAAAAATCAATCACAAATGACAGATACACATATATGATATACTCAGATTTATCACAAATGCCTTAAACCATGATTCATGAACATCCTTGGGTACATCTCCATAAAAAATCCATGGTCCCCTATAAGATCCTTCTAATACCCTTCAAACTTCTTTTTGAACTTTTCTCCAACAATCATTTAACAAAAAAAAAATATTAACACACTAAATTATATTTTGTAAACATAATAGCCAAAAATATTACTTATGTAATATAACACTATTAACTGGGAAAGTCTTCAACTGATATCAGTGTTCGCACTATATTAGACTATCCTTCACAAAATAGTTTCCCAGGTAGCACCAATATCGGCTTAAGACTTTCCCAAGTAATAGTTTGATATTACATAAGTAATACTTTTGGCTATCATGTTCACAAAATATAATTTAGTGTATTAATATTTTTACGTTAAATGATTGTATGAGAAAAGTTATGAACGAGGTTAAAAGGATATTGGAAGGATCTTATAGAGGACCATGGATTTGCTATAGAGATTTACCTAAGGATGTTGGTGAATCGTGGTTTAAGGCATTTGTGGTAAATCTGAGTATATCATTTATGTGTATGAGTGTATCTGTCATTTGTGATTGATTTTTTACTTTAATGATAACTGTGTGTTTTATATAGCCGAACCACACACATCCTTCGGCACAAGAATCTGATATACAGCGTGTTATTAACTCTAGATGTTCATTGTGGTTGAAGAGTGTCTTCAATGAACCCTAAAAGAAGATAAAACGGCCCAAATGGATATCCTCAGAACATTGGCGGGATGTGCGAGTGCAGTGGGCGTCTGAAAAGTTTAAGAAGAAGTCAGAAGTAAACAAAAAGAGTAGCTCTTCAGATGCCTGTAGAAGCTTGCCATATTGCGGGGGTCTGTTTCTCAAAAAGTTAGAGCGGAACGATTAATAAGTTTGTACTTGTAAGTTAGTATTTATTTCAAATTAATTAGTGTGGAATGAATTGTTGATTATATATTTTTAAATATGTTGTACAATTGGGGAGGGTTGCTACCGAGATTCTCAAAGATATATTCCAAAAAAAGGAACAAATGATTGGAGTGATCCACGAGCTCAGGAGATTGTTGTATAGTTTTATTATTTTATGTTTTGCATATTTTCAGTTTCAATACATTGGTATTTATATTATTTTTATTTCATAATCAGTTTTAATGCATTATTATGTTGTGAACATTATAATTATTGTTACCAAATTTTAAGACTTCTTTAGTTGTTTAATTATTTACAAGTGAAATATTAAAATAATTTTTACTAGTTACATTATTTTACTAGTTACATTATTTTGTAGTTTTTTCCATCATTTTCAATTAAGCCAAAGACTCACTAAGCTGTCTGCACTTCTTTGTTATGAAGTAGCAGTCAGTCTATGCAATCTTTGACGTGATTTTCACTATGGGTCATCCGGAAACAGTCTCTCTATGCTTTAGTATAGGGGTAAGACTGCGTACATCCGACCCCCCCTTACCCCACCGTAGGTGGGAGCCTTTGCGGCATTGGGGTGATGATGATGATGATGATGATGATGATGATGATGATGACATTATTTATAGTTACATTAACTATTTATAATATTTCCAGTTTATTTAATTTAATACTAATTTAAATTTTAATAGGAAAAAGTTGCGGCAGAGGTAGATCGTCAAACCCATGACTCCCAAGAGGGTAGTGTGGATGAAAATGTATTTTTTTTAAAGTTGTATCTCCCAAAAAGGAAAAATATTTGGGTTGGATCCTCTTACCGTGGGAAGTTTGCGCAATGGTTCATTTGATCCCACTTTATCTCAACAAACACCATATGTTAAAGTTGAAGATTTCAATGCTTTTAGAACATTGATAATGGAACAAATAGTACATAAGATGGCGACGCGGAGGACGGATCCTACTAATGAGTCGACCACTCATTCACTTCCAAATATGACACATGGTTTCTTGTCTCAGCTTCTCATACATCCATGTTTCCTATGGTTCCATCAGGAATGACTCACAATTTGCACTCACAATCAGTCTCTTATTATCAAACGATGTACCTGAATGGCCACATGTCGGGACAACAATCTGTGCCGCTTCAACCATCCATACTTTCTCAACTACCATTTGAATTCATTCCTCTACAAAATCGTAATAGTACTTCTCTAGATGACCCCTTTTTGAATAATATACTTGCTGGAAATGAGAGAGAGAATGGAGGTGGTGGGAAATGAAGAAGTATTTGCATTGTTTTTTATTTAGTTGTGGTGTAATGAACAATCCCTACTTTTATTTGTCAAACTTTTGTACTGTATTAACTTTGTTTTGTACAATCTTGAAGTATGCAATTTTATGGAATGCTTTGAAATTTACTTGTGCATTGGGCAATATTGGGCAGTTTTTTGGTGATGACTTTCTGGGATTCTACAAAAGCACCATCTAACTGCATTTGAACTGGAAAACTCATAAATATAATCGCTCAAGCTAATGGTTTATGAACAATTAAATGCTGCGAATTGGAATGTGTTACATGGTATTTTATTTCCAACAGATTTATTTGTTGGAAAGCCGCCAGTAGTTTTGTTTTTCTATAAAATTTTCGACAGATTAATCAGTTCGAAACCCGTTAGCATATGATACGAGACTGGAAATTCTGGTTGGCCTTTTCCGATCGCATTATTCGTTGGAATGTTCCAGCAGATATATTTGTTGGAACTCCGGCAGAAAGATTTAAAATCAGTATGAAATGGTTGTCGGAAACATTTCCATACAATGTATTCCAACGATCAAATTTTGTCGGCATTTTGTTGGAAATATTGTTTCTAACAGCTATTTCGTTAAAATCTGTTGGAAAGTTGGTTGGTATTGAGCCCTTTTCAGTGACGTTCTTCATAGCATCCTTTAATGCCCTAATTAGGATTAAATTAATCCCTAAATGCACAAATAGGACTAAGTTATTTATCTTCCCAAAATAGGACTAAAGTTCACCCTATTTTCCTATTATACCCTTATCACTACTTAATAGGATAATCTTATTTTAATTTGTAATAAAAAAAAATAATAAAAATATTACTCTGTATAACTTATACAAAAAATCGTAAAAAATTTAAGAAACAATTTTTTAAAAAATAATAATAAAATAACAAACATTAAAAAAATTCAAAAAAAATAATAATAATAAATAAAAAGTAGATAAAACACATTAAAAATATCAAAAAATATGGAGGTCTTTCCCGCAGTCTCGGCCACCGCCCAGCAATGTCACCTCCAATCCGCAAAAAAAGGTATTTCGTGGAAAAAGTGCCACATTTTTACTATTTGAAAATGTCAAAATTTTCTCGAAAATTGACATCAAGATGGTGTTTCTCGCAAAAAAAATATACAAGTAGATGAAAAGAAGAAAGAATAGGGGAAATGGGTGAAGTAGCAAATCAGCAAATGTACTCTTAAACTTTATTCGTAAGAGCAAATATACCGTTCAACTTCATTTTGGAACAAATAAACGTATAACTTTTAAATTTAGAACAAATATAACCTTGAATTAGAAATTGGGGAATATAAATATACACCTTAATTATTACTCTCTCCGTCCCATAAAATTGTTCCCGCATTGATTTGGATCGTAGTTTAGGAAAGTGATAATAAAGTGGAAATATGTGGTTGTGGTTGAGTAAGAAAAAGGTAAATGAATGATAGCCACAAAAAACTTTCCAAGAGGGGAAATCAGAACTATTTATTGGGACGGCAAAGAAACGAGGAACTATTTTGCGGAACTGAGGGAGTATATATCATATATACCCTACAATCATTTGAAAATAAGGGCGTATTTGTTTTTACTTTGCAATTTTTGTGTCTAATTGTTCTGTTGAAGGTATATACTTTGTGGAAAATTACCTGAGTGGTAATAATGAGAAGCCAGCCAGTATAGAAAGAGATACTCCTGCGGTAAAAAGCGATAATGATGGTAACAATACCAACTGCGTAAGCCGTCCCACTCCCCACGTTCCCAAATATGGTGATCAGCACGTGCTCCTTCATGTTAAACGGGCCCGGGTTCAACGAGAACTCCCTCGACCCGAACCCGGGGATCCTGAACTTGGTCGCGGGCAGGGCGGCGGCCATGAACCGCCCGATGGGGAGGGTTGCCACCTGGACGGTGATCTGGGTGATGACCAGAGGCTCCTTCCGGTAGCCGAAGAACTGGTTGAGGAAGGAGAGGAGGACGCAGGAGAAGACGCCGAGGACCCACATTCTGAAGGTCCATACCGGCAGGGTCGGGTCGTCCGTGTTCGGTACGGTTAACCGGACTTGCTCTATCGGAGAGAGCTCATCTTCCTCGGAGGTTTTGGGAGCCTCGATTTCCACTGAGCCCATTTTTCCTCGGTGGGTGTAACAAGTGTGTCCGTACTTGCATTATCTATATGAGTATACGCAATTATTTACTTTGACTTTTATGTTGACTTTAGAAAAATCTACTCTATATTGAAATGGAGTATTTAAAAACGGCCTACTAAAGTTGAAATTAATTTTTCCATGATCTCTATACCAACTATCTTGTAAAGTCTTCCTTTCAAAAAAATTTATAAAGTCTTCTCACATAGCGTCATCGTTATTACGTACTCCCTCCGTTTAAAAAACAAGTTACACATTTGACTTCACTCATATTAAGATAAAAATTTTGACTTTAATGTGGAGTGCATTGTTTGACATTGTTTGAACACTGTTTGACATTGTTTGACACTGTTTGGAACTGTTTTGATGTAGATAATTTGCCAAATAAAGAAATGATTGAAAGTGAAACTTAATTTTGAAACTGCTCGAAAGGGAAATGTGAAACTTGTTTTTGAATCGGAGGGAGTATTTGAAAGTTCTCTACAATATATTTGAACATACGGAGTATCATTTAAGCATGCAATAATAGGGGTAATAAATATTGTAAAAAAAATATGAGAGATAGTTGAAAAGTATGAAAGAGGGAATAAAAAGTCGAAAAAGTAATGGTAATTGAGTATTTTTAAAGACAAAACTTATCAAAAAGGAAAATATAGTAAAAATTTAAATACATCCATGAAAGGAATATGTAGCAAACTTTAAAATTTGATTCAGTATTAGATATCCCAAAAAAGGAGTGTTATACGGGCTTTTTTCTTGGTCAATAATGATACGTTTTGATTTAATTGCTATATTTAAATATTATTTATACAAATATGATTTTGTATTAAAAATACCATTAATTGAAGTTAATTGTCATTAAGCAAGAACAACCAACTACCAATTTTTTAAGACGGAGACCGTATTTTTTAAATTTGATGTCAACTTCTCAAGTCTCATGACATAATTTATAAAATTATATACAAAATGATATATTTAGGAAATGAAAATGATCTATATCCATAACATTATCTTTTTTTATGGTAAAATATCCATAACATAATCTTATGTTTTCATTTTATATCCAACGTTCTACATGTTTTTCTACAAGTCAGTGTGGGGATTATAGAACTGCAGTAAATCGATTTTTTGTCGAGAGAAATAAATTGAATATAGATTAGAATAATACGTAGTATTATACTCCGTAATACTCCCTCCGTCCCAAAAACAACTTCCCACTTTCCTTAAATGGATGTCCCAAAATTAACTTCACACTTCAATACTTTCTTTATTTGGCAAATTATCTACATCCAAAAAGTGATAAACAGTGCCAAACAGTGTCAAACAATGTTTAAACAGTGCCAAACAGTGTTTAAACAGTGCTAAACAGTGCACTCTACAGTAAAGTCAAATTTATTTCCTAAAAGTGTATGAAAGTCCAACCGGGAAGTTGTTTTAGGGAGTAATTAAACACATGAACGATTGGTGTGCCCCGTTTGGAGTGCGTGCCCATCCACCCCAATCTCTTTGAGAAAAAAAATCAAAAAACAAAAACAAAGACAAAAAGGTGAGGAGACTACATACCAACTGATAATTTTTGGAAGGATCCCTCCGCCCAACTTATTATCGTGAATCGTGATGAGTGTGTCGATCATTAGCATTTGCAGTGGGGTTTTGAGAAATAGAAAATTGAATCATACGTAGTAGTAAAATACTAAAATGAATTACGGAGTCTTATGTAACATTTTGTGTAGACGTAATTTGCTAGTCTGGTTTGATCTGGTTTGATAAAATGAATTACGTGTATTTTATAACTTGGGAAGTCAAGTCTGGTCTGATCTGAGATCGAAAACAATCCAAGTAAAAACATTCCCGATCTATAAGGTCGTAAAAGAGCACAGGAAGATGAGCACATAATTTTCATATAACATTTTGTTAATTTATAAATTATCGTTACGAAACTTCAACACATCTTCTCACGACCAAACACTTGTTTGAATCATGCTGTCATTTATCTTTTTCGTTGGTTCGTCATTGTCATTTTATAATTGTATCATCATTTTTATAGGCGTTTACTTTATGGTTATGAATCAGTTTGACTCTATTAAGACTCGAGTTTCGTCCTAAAGGGTCAATCTTATAGGAGTAAAGCTTTGTTTGCAAACACTAAAAAACAGCGCTTCGCCGCTTTTGGCTTAAAAAACCTAAAAAGAGTGTTTTCAAGTAACAACTTCTACTTAAATTAATATTTAAAAGCTAAAAGTTAGAATATGCTTTTTTATTTTTTCTATTACACCAAAAGTATTTATTTTACCAAACACTATTAATTTTTACTTTTCAAATTACTTTTTTCTCAAACACTACCGACTTTTATTATTATGCACTTCTTCCCAAATCATTTTTAAAAGTTCAAAAGCACTTGTGAGTACTTTTTTTTTTGGCCCAGACCTTATGCATTGTAGGACTCTTTTTTTTTTGCCGGGAGTCAGATGTCATTATTTTATTCAAAAACAAAGGGATACACAGGGAGAAGGGGGACCAGACCAAAACCTCACCCAAAGAAGCAGAAAACTGAAAAAGACTAAACTTGTATTGGTGGTTTACCACCAAGAAGCAAAGATTAAAATCTAAAGTATGGGAACCCAAATAAATCAGCAAAATAGCTACGTTTAGCATTAATGGGCATTTCAGACACATTAGTGTAATAGATGAAATCTCCCAAAACACTACTTGGGTGAGCTAAGTGATGGGCCAAAAAATTTCCTTCCCTATACATATGTAAAAAAGCAAGCCCATGTTCTTTTGCCCTTAGCTTGAATGTCCGAAGCCCTTCAATCCATGCACTTGTGAGTACTGTTTGCAAACAAATTTATCATTTTATTACTTTCATAATTTACTTTTGTGGGGCTTCAATAGAAGTCATCTACACAATGGGAAGGCTCGAGGAAGAGTATCATCATAAAATGTATAGTGGATTAGGCATGGACCCGGTTCGGGCCGCCCGGCCCGGGACCGGCCCGGGACCGGCCCGGCCCGTCACTGTGCGGGCCCGGAACCGGCCCGGTTCTCGGGTCCGGGTCCGGGTCGGGCCGAGGCCCGGTGGGGGGGCGGGTCCGGGCTCGGGCCTTGTATTTGGCGAACCGGCCCGGCCGGGTCGGGCCTGGGCCGAATTGATTTTATTTTTATTTTTTTTCATTTTTTGGGGTTAGCTGGGTTGGGCTTGATGGTTAGGAGGGGTTTGGGGGTTTGGGGGTGGGGGGGGGGGGGGTTAGGAAAGCAAAAAAAAAAAAAAATTATGACCGAACCGGAGGCCGGGCCCGGACCGGACCCGGTGGCTACCCAGGCCGGTCCCGGGCCTTCCTTCCCAAAAAAAAGCCCAGCCGGGCCCGGCCCGGAACCGGAACCGGCCCGGCCCGGGTCCATGACTATAGTGGATAAGTTCTTTTTGTCGAAATTTGACGCTCTCAAAACTTGAACTGAAATCTGAATACTGATGCTCCAGTATACCTTAAATTCATAATTTGAATTTTGAAAAGAATAAATTGAATAGTCCAAAATCAAAACTAAATGCAAAAATTGAACCCAATCGTAGTCTTTTTTTTGTTTATTTTCATTTTTCTGTTTTCATTCTATGGTGCTAAAACATTGATGTTTGATGCTTTGTTTATTACAATTTTTTATTAAGCTACTAAGTTGTTATGTTTATTGCTCAATCGAATTTCAAATATATTGATTTAAAGTCGCTAGAATTTCAAATACAATCATATCAATCTACTAATTTTGGAAAATTGTTTAATAAACTCGCAGGTGTCTGGTGTCCTACTAATAGTCATGGACCCGGGCCGGGGCCGGCCAGACTTTTTTTTGGGAAGGAAGGCCCGGGACCGGCCCGGGTAGCCACCGGGTCCGGGCCGGGCCGGGCCTCCGGTTTGGTCAATTTTTTTTTTTTTTTTTGGCTTTCCTAACCCCCCCCCCCCCCCCCAAACCCCTCCTAACCATCAAGCCCAACCCGGGTAACCCCAAAAATCAAAAAAAAATAAATGAAAAAAAAAATAATTCGGCCCGGACCCCGGCCCGACCCGACCGGGCCGGTTCGCCAAATACAAGGCCCGAGCCCGGACCCCCCCCCACCGGGCTTAGGCCCGACCCGGACCCGGACCCGAGAACCGGACCGGTTCCGGGTCCGCACAGTAGCAGGCCGGGCTGGGCCCGGGCCGGGCGGCCCGAACCGGGTCCATGACTACCTACTAAACAAGAAACTCGGAGTAAATAATCGCCCAATCAAGTTATAAAAATGTTGCGACAATTTATATGTTAGGTAACTAATTTTCCAATCAAAGTAATTACCCGCTCATATTACCCTTATATCTCCAACTAGGCACTTAATCACATATGCACCACAATTTAGTCTTCAAAAGATTTGCCTGATTGACTTTTCTTCTTCAATCGCAATCAACTTTGATTAATGGTATTTTTTAATACGAAATTATTTTGAATATAAAAATTATATCAAATTGTCTCTTGTTCAAAATATTTTCATAAAATATAAAATTGACAAATTATATAAAAATATAATATCCAAAATCATTGTCTAAAGTTTACCATCATTGTCCAAGAAAAGTGAATCGGTTAAACCTTTTCGTGACAGACATAGTATTATTATCTCTTTCTTCTACACAAATCTTGATTACAAAATTTTAATCTATTTTACTTCTAATTCCCATCAAACTTGGCAAAATAATGGGAGTACAAGGAAGCAAATAAACTTTTACACCCAGTCTTCATTATCTTGTTCTCTCTTACACAGCAGTAAGTTGCTGAAAGGTGTAAAGAATAGTGTCATGAAACTGAAGATAATCCAAATTAACCGTTGAAAATGTTGCCACTTGATCTCCCATTAACCCCAAGTATATTTTCAGCACCCTCAATCTAGTAAAATGATCTATTAGCTGAATTTTATTGTAACATCATTGGCACTAAACTGACTAAAGCCATTGGAGAAATTAACTGAATGAGACCCAACTCATCCCAAGTTGGTCTTATTATCCATTTATGGCTTTGCCAGTATATTTTCAAGTACT